TTGACTTTACCTCATTATACCCATATGTTCAAAGAAACTGATAAATGCGTCAAGACAAAAAGAGAAAATACTAAACCACACAATGTGTAACATACCATCTTCTACAAATTCTTTTACATGCGTTTGTGTACAAATCGAAGATTGGGTTAATTGGTTTTGGGACGAAGAAGTTGGTGAAAAGACTGAGTCATATTTGCGATTCTTTCTTGTGGATCATCTATTAAAGCGACACAATTTATATCATCAATAAATTGGACTTTGGCAAAATTTAGAATGTGTAACATACCAACTAAATCAAGGTTTTATCCATGTATTTGTGTACAAATGAAAGTTTGGTTTAACTGGTTTTGGAATGATAAATATGGTGAAAAGTATGATTCCTTTTTTCTTTTCTTTATTGTGGATGAAGCATTGAAGCGAGACAATTTGTATCATCAATAAATTGGACTTTGGACTTTCCATATTATCATTTTTAAAAATTGGACTTTGGACTTTCATCAATGTAATTATTTTCTATTGTATTTGAAATATATATCTTTTTTTATAAAAATCTTCTTGTTCATATATTTTATATTCCTCTTATACACTATTCTAATATATATATGTATATTATCACAGGCTCACCCTTCTTTATTTTTATGTTTACTACCGCTGACTGCCTCAAAAACGATCCCCCCGGTTTTTTTGATTATAAGATGTATTATGACTATTTTTAGACATAATACATTTTATAATAAAAACTTGAGCCTACTGATATATATATATATATATATTAGTTAACTACTGTGCATCGTGGTGTTCGGTGGATTGTTACTCTTTAAGATAATTGGTGTAAATAAATGCCCCAAGTATTCATTGCAGTAGCTTTATACGATTACAGGATTTGGGTCGAAACATATAACTATGAACATACGCATGATACTGATGTTGAAAAACCCAAAACCATGCCAGTACGCTCTTACATTTGTTAGGTTCGGAATGACTAAGTGATTTACTGATAGACTCTATGCTAAGCTTGGGTCGTACGCAAAAAAAGCCTAGCGTGGCGGCAATAAACATGTATACACACGTCTTTCACATACCAAAACATCTTCAACTGAGCAATGATGTTCAAGTTCCTTCCTTTCGTCGAAACTTTCAAACTTTCACATATACAAATAGTTTAGCAAGATCTGCTTCACATGCACTCTAAAGGGATTAAAGTCTTTATGTGTGCGATCAAATACTAATTAAAATATGTAAAATTAACACGCTGCGGGATAGCTTCTGTGGTATTTGACATTCTTTATTAGTTTAATTGCTATATACTCATGACGTCAGAAAAACGATTAATTGCTTGCACTCATTTTGTGCATAGCATTTTTCAACGACAGGAATTTTTAGTTCAAAATAACTTTGAAGTACTAAGTAACTATTACGGAAGTTGCAAGTGCATTTTGTGACCCTGCCTGGGCAACGTGGCATATGTGTTATCTGACCGAAGTGGTTTGTTAACTACACTTAGTGCGAACGGGTCGTTTAGTTCATGATGTCTCTTTCAACTGGAAACGTTGACGGCATGCATTTTAAAAACTTATCACACATTTGATATGTGAAATATTTTCACTGGTTTGAAAGCCGTCAACTTGAAAACTCTCCCTATCGATGTCTCAATTCTAAATGTCGCAAGTAATGAGTTCAAAAAACTCACAAAACTTGATAATAAAGAACAAAATATCTACTTATCAATTAAGGTCTGGTAAAATACACTAGGGCAAGTGGATTCCCCGCTTGGACTTGATGGCTCTTGAAGCGGAGATTCCTGTGGCTGCATTGGGCCAACAAGCTCTCCAATGTCAAGATATTGCTGTTGTTAAAGAAAATGCCCATTGTTAGTTGTTTCATAAATTAAAGTTATTGACACGTTTGTTAAAAAAAAACGATTTACGATTACAAACCTCACACTGTGAAAAACGGTTTGGAGCCAAAAATCAAATCTCTTGGAATCGAAGCCATCTTAGATTACAATTCCCCAATCCCGAAGTAATAGAATTGTCTGAAGATTTCTAATTTTGGGTTGAAAACTTACAAATTTTTGTAATCTAGCTAATATGGCTTCGTCGAGCTTTCCACTCGTAAAACTAATTCTGGATTTTTGGCTTCAAACCATTGCATCATTTTATGCTTAAGGAAACATACCTCGTCGGTCATTTTGGACAGCATATCGTCCAGTTCTTCAACGAGTTCAGTGAATGTTGGACGATCGTGAGGCTCTTCATTCCAGTATTTCATCAGCAAGTCGTAACTGGAATGAAAAAAATGTAGACCTTTAAGTATTTTACGTTGAACCGTTGATTATGGCGAGTGTCAACGTACAGTTCTTGTAGACAATTTACAGGCGGCTCCATTCTGTATTTTTCAAAAATCAAAAATTGTTCGAGCGGTATGCCTGGATATGGAGTGCCACCTAAATATAAATTTGAATTTGTAAAACAACGACTTAGTTGTGTTACAAACTTTACTATTGCTCTGAATATCGTATTTGACTCGGTGAATGACAATTGAAATTGAGTAGTTCTTAAAGGGCATATGACTTAAAAACTTTACTACTTAAATTATAGTTTCATTTAATAGAACTTTGAAAATGACAGTGTACTTTCTAAAACAGTTTATGCATACCTCTTTTCATTCTCAAATTATTTAGGTTTTTGTAATGTCCTATCTATACAATTTTCTACGTCATTTTGCATAGTGAGAATTTGAAATAGCAAGTACATTTGCCAATATATTACCTCAACCGAGCAGAGTTCCCTTAATTGTGAAGAGTTAATGGTATAAGCTCTTCAACAGGACGATTTGATCTTAATTGGTTCACTGCACATTTCTCATCTTGTCAATGGAAGTGGTCACCAATTTCTGTTGACAGTATAATTGAGAGTGGCTGGTGGCCTGGTAGCCCTGAAAATTTTCATTACATATTTAGTCAAGATGTCTTAAATATGTGGGATGCATTTAGAAAGAGGATGCCTGGGTCATCACAATCTGCTTTTGTAAGAAGTTTGGAAGATATTTCCAGCTCTAGAGGAAGGGTGATTATTTTTTATGCTATCTACATATCTTTGTTAGTGTGCTTCTTAGTTTGTGTATATTTTTTGTCTTGCAAACCAAAAGCTACAAGACGTAAATCTTGGTTTCAAAATAATCCTTTATGATCATTTCTTTCTGTGAATTTTGGTAAATTCTGGGAAGTCAAGGAAAATTTGTTTAAAATTTGTAACAAGCACATGTCAATTTTTGTAGGCTTCATATAATGTGTATGTTTGAAGTATGAGAACTATATTATACAGTGGGGTTTTGCATAATCAACAAATAGTATATAATTGTGCTATGTTTTGATTTTGAACTGGTTTCACTAGGAAAATGTTATCAATTCAGTCACATTCAGAAAATCATTTGCTGAATGGAGCTATTACCAACAAAATTGACCTTCTTCATGAGCAGACATGAAAAATTGCCCTCCTTGTAGTATTGATCAACATTCATGTCATGTTGATGGAAATCAAAAAGTGTACAGATTCAGCAAAGTACCAAGGTTTGTGATATTGGATGGCGAATTCTCAAACTTGTAAAAATGGAATTACCCTTTGTAAACGATTCAGATACTTTTATGTTTTAATAAATTGAACCAATTTAACAAATCCAAGAAAAAGACCTACTGCTCATGTTTGATGCTTTACCTGCATTGTTGGGTTTATGAGTGCTTGTGTTCTAAATTGATACCTTACTTTTACCACAGGGGTCCAGTCCAGTGTTATTATCGTGATGTATTGATTGCAAACAATAGTTTTGTGGACTCTCATTTAAAAAGTCTTGGTTCAATGTCAATTCAGGTAATGTGTTATGAAGTAGGATTGAAAGGTAGTAATCTATTATTAGGTTAAAGCATTTTTATAGAACGAAGATAATTCTTGTGGCGACACCCATTGGAAAGCTGCAAAAATGGTCTCCAAATCAAAGAAAAACCAAGACGAGACTGGACTTGAAGTTGCTGGATGCAGGCACTCGATTGCTCAAGCTACTTTGAACATGTTCAGAGGAGAAATTTATGGCTATGCTCACTACTTGCATATGAGTTTTTTACAACCACATAAAGTATAACATATGTGGGAAGATATTATATGCAAATATTGGTCTTGGGCTCTACGTGTTACATCGGAAGAAAATCAAAATGCACTAAGAAGTATTGCACCAGCACTGTCTATAATGCGTGGGAAATCACACAGTTGGTCATGTCAGGTACGTTACATACGTAGGTTATGATTGTTTACCCAATAACTCGTAAGCTAAATACCACATACGCCGACGATAATGCTCTATTAAAGATGTTATGAGACAAAGCGTGCTTTTCAAACTGTAATAATACTGTATTTCACGTAACTAAACCGTGGTTACATAAATCTTAAATGGGTTGTCTAGAATAGATGATTCGTTTCACACTTTTTAGGTTATTTGGAGCGGAAGATGGCAAAGTGGTGCGGCAACAACTGCTGGCGAAGAAGTTGAGCAAATATATTCGTATTTGTCAAGACTTGGCTCGACTACTAAAAATATGACGGCCTCCGGTGAGTATTATTTTCTTATCTGTATATCCACTCAGGTTTTTTGGTCGATTAAGTCCACGAACTAATGTGCACATTAATGGTTGTACGTATTAAGGACGAGAAGAATGCATTACTGAACACCTTCTGAGTTGGAACAAGCGAAAAATTTTAAAATTTGGCAAAATCACTTGTTATTCGAATGAAAAGGTTACACGTTGTATATGTCTTCAGTTAATTTTCAAAATTATACTAGTGTGAGTCCATGATTCTAATGTGTGCTACGTACGTGTATAATATGAAATGAATTTACAGTTCATAGTTGTTTATAGGTCTTGTTTGAACCCAATACGTTTACTGCGCTAATATGATTATTTTTCACTGTTTGTCATTATGTGTACTTGTGTTTCGAAGACGGAAAGGCAACTTTCATCTGCCAGGGACGATTTTGTAAAGTTAAGAAGCGAACTTAATGTCCAGGATTCAGACTTGGACGACTCGATAATGCAGTGGAAAGAAGAAGTTCAACAATTTGCGAGAGGTATACCTCTGTTATAACATTGTTTACTTTCAAATATTTTTAGAAACATGGTTTAGTATTGAACAGTTCTGTACTTATGGTTGATTTTTGTTCAAACATCATTTAAAACGAAACTATATGAAATAATTCTTGGCCTGGCTCAAATTTTTATGTTTGGCAATTGTTATTTTTAACAATTCATTTTACCCCCGGAAAATATATAGCCATACAGTATTGTATGGAGTGCTTAGTAATTACGTAGATAGATTAATACTTTTTGTTGTCTGTCTAGATTCTAGAACAACAAATTGGAGTTTCTTCGTTGAAAGGTGCCGCCGAAGAGTTCTTCCTTTTGCATCAAACTGTTAAAAATGCTCAACATTTGGAGAAATTTGTAAGAGCCAACGATGATCAAACGCAGACATTATTGGGTGATAGGCGTTTCGTTCATGACGCTCAAAACAAAGTGAAACAACTTGAACGAATTGCAACAAGATTGCTGGAATTGAAAAGACAGCTTTTAGATGGACATGTGACAGAGGAGCAGCTTCTTGAGCAAGGAAAGTCGCAGCTGGCAAAATCACAGTAGCAAAGCTGCAGAAGAGATTAGAAATGTTGTATTTTCAGTCACTAGACGCACAAAGAAATAACTTCTCTTGCTGGTGAGTTTTGTTGGGTTTTTATGACTTATATTTATGGGCCACCTACACTTATTTTGGGCCAAATTATTTCAAAGCATTTTGCCAAATTACTAAAATTGCGATTTGTCGTTGTTACGTATATTATACATGTACGTACTGTAGATTCTAGCAACGAAGATCTTCCATGAGAAAGAAATGCGCTAAAGATAAGTCCGAAATAACATCCACCGTAGAAGAGTTAAATTGCCTCTCAAGTCTGCGTGGTCTTCCTACGACAAGTGCGGAAGAAGTCATGTCTGGAGATTTTGTTTGGTCGTTTAACCAGTGTGACATAGATAGTACGACTTCACATGGTGTGTAAAGAAAAGCAAATATAGTTCTATGTATATTGTGACGTCCATGCTCGCTTTTAGTTTCAACTATTTTACTTAACAATATTTAGATATACCTGTGCGTTTCAAGGCACAAATTGTCGATAAGTACATGTTAGTTAAAAGATTGGAAGAGGAAAAAGCACTTCTGAACATGGAGATGAAAAATTATATGATTTATTATTTGGAAAACGTTTTGCCTCTCCTTTGTGAAAGAAAAGAAGATTAAAGATACGATAGGTATACAGATAAATGTTCGTATTATGTTAAAACAAGCTTAAAGGTTGCGTATTTATATACTGTGGAATGTAATGTACATGCGTTTAACTTATTTTGCAATTATTTTTTTAGTATGTACAAATAATGTTGATGAATCTGATGACTATTCTTTCTTTGAAACAGAGGTCAGATAAGTAGTGAAAATGACACCAATCTTTTAAAATACGAACATACTTATTGATATGATTACGTTTGTTTTATAGAGCTTTCTTCTAGATGAATATAAACATCGCTATTGTGTGCGAAAAGACACAATGAAGACTCTGCATGGTCATCTCGCCATCACAAACTGCGGAATTGCATTTGCCAGAGTGCAGTTGAAAAAGGTTTTCAATACTTTAACGACTTAGAGCAGTCCATAGTCAACGTATACGATTGTGACAATGAATCAGACTGTAGCGATGAAAATGACGTTCATGAAGATGACGTTCATGAAGATGTTGAAGAAGAAGATGCATATAATTCGTAGTATTTTGTTGCTGAAAGCTGTGCTATCATTATTTTTGTGTGCACTTTTTATAAATAGAAAATTTTTGCATGTTGCTCTTTTTGTAAGTAAAATGTATGCACATACACTTGCAAGTATATACATCTAAGAAGATACACGCATTTGTAGTTGTTCAGTGCAAACGGCCTATTTTGCAACAATCTATGATCTACAAATTGCCCTTTTCTTGATATTTAGATTTCTGATTCCTCTGTGATAGATTTATTGATTTAACAGTCGCTTATTCTCACTCACGTAACCAAAAAAGCCATGAATGGCCACTAGCTGGTATGCTGGCTCAATTCCAGTACATACCTCTCAAGAAAGTGGTTACTATGTACATATCTATATCTCAGACACCCAGGATGTAATGAAGCCATTCACTTTTTGCAGCTGTTATAAGTTGTTTGTTAACAAAAGTGATTGAAAACATGTTTCATCAAGATTGTAGACATTTCTGTTTTAAATTTGGCTAATAAATTGTGCAATTGGTACTTAACTCCATGAAAGCAGTGTATATGGCCTATATAGCGTATATAGTGTATATAGCCTATATAGTGTATATAGTGTATATAGTGTGTATAGCCTATAAAGTGTATATAGTGTAAATAGTGTGTATAGCCTATATAGCGTAAATAGTATGTATAGCCTATACAGTGTATATAGTGTATACACCGTCTATAGCCTATACAGTGTATATAGTGTGTATAGTGTGCTTAGCCTATATAACGTGTATTGCTTATATATCGTGTGTATAGTAAGAATGTATGAAAAAAAAACTATGATAGAAAGTTTTTCCTAACAAGACGCGCGCAGTACAGGGTTACAGCTGGAAAAGAAAATTTCAAAAATTGCAAAATGTTATAGCAGTGAAATATCTGCTGGTAAAAGTCCTTCAAAACAGGCCTGGCGCACGAAAAATTTTCATTGAAAAGAAAATTTAATTATCCTAAGTCAAAATATGAAGGAGGTTGTGCAAGCTATCTTAATTGCAAGCAATTTGAGGGCAAGCGCTGGCCAACGTAAGATCTTTAAAACACTTTAATTTTTTTGCTTTTTCGTATTTCACTTACCTTTGGATTGGCTTCTTAATTTCATATTGTACTTTATTCAATTTGCAAATAAATCATTAGCAGCTGTAGCAGAGAACGTTAAAATACACATGCGTGTCTTATTTTAGAGAAACTTTTCCAAGAGTCTACTTTTTTGATACACCTGAAATATAGTTCGTTGGTTGTTAGCGTCTTAGTGGTTTTTTTTTACGCAACAGTTCACGCTTTTTTTCTGAATTTATTATACATCTCCATAGAAAAACTTTTAAATCATCTTATTTTTGGGATTAATAGGTGAACAACACTTGAATAAAATCGTGTACGTGTATTACATAAATATTTTAGATAATAAATGAGCTCTAATTGTTCTAAGACATATCGCAAATTTTATTTTCTAATCTATTTATTTTGGAATATTTTTAATGCAATTATGAAAGAATGAGTGTATGATCTATGAAGTAGAACATATATTTGGCATTTAATCTATTGTTGTATTTTCTCATGCTCTGTCATTAGGCTGCGACTACAGATATTTTTCATACGTCAATTTTTACGTGAGAAAGTGCATCTCATTTCATTTGGTTATAAACTATATATCTATGTTGCAACTAGCATTCAAGTTATTGTTTTTGGAAATTTAACGTAAATTGTAACAGTGAAATCTGCACAACAATATCATCAGGCATTAAATATTTCACTATTGGCTGATTTCTAAAGGACATGACATAAGCATCCGCATAGACGTAAACTTAAAAAGTATTTAACTCAAAGAAGAACAAATGAAGAATGGAATAAATATTCCACGATGTCTTTGTTTTTGTAAACATTTTAGTAAGAGAAACTAAAGTCTTTTCGCTCATGTTCATTCCACTGTTGTAAAACATGCATAAACGTTTTAGCACGCTGCCTTACCCTACACTTTTATTCCATCAAAATCGCCATTTTCCATTCATTGATATACCTTGTGAAAACTTTAAGAAATAACTTACAAGAAATTCCTCTGCAGTACAAAAAGTGTGAAGTTCAAAGTAGTTATAAATGTCTTATTTCACGACTCAGAAATTTTTAGTTGGACTTCTTACGTGATATGACGCGCATAATATAAAATCTGTTCTTTTATAATACAATGATATCAAACAAAAATATTTCCACTTGAAGATCAGGCACAAAATAGAAAATTTACTATAATATACATATACAAGGAAGTTTCTTTACGAAAACAATAGAATCCATAAAGAAAAAAAATGCGGAAGATTTACGTAGTTATATATTGTGAGTAAAATCATCTGGTCCAGCAACAAACATTCTGTCAACTGGCCAAATGTAAGACTCGCCAGGTCTTACGACATCTTCGTCGAAAGGACCAGGAAATGGTGGAGCAACTGTTTTCCCCGGTACCACACTAGTAAAAGACAGATAGGTCGACGGGAGTCACGGCCGATTATGCACCTTCAACATTCCTGAGACACATCCAAAACCACACACTACACCATTCTCGTTGGCCAATGCTACAACAGTTCCTAAGTGTACATGAAACAATTTAAATTCAAGACATAGCCATTTGCATCGTTGATCACTATTTATAACAGAAGAAATATTGCTACGCATCATCGGCATGTACGTAGCTGCCAAAGAACCAAATCAAGTTTTAACATTTTAAAGCTGAAAGTAGTCATGTTTGGACATGCTTATTGTTGTGAAATGTGTTCCATGTTGATGACAAAATTAATCAACAAAAGATCGAACTTGTTTTGCGACAACCTAAAACTTCTAAGAACCTAAAAATCAACCATTCTAATGCTAACACCTATGTACACTATTCCTGACCTGTGCTAAAAGTTGCTGTAGGGACAGATGGAGCAGTCGTTTTAGATATGGTAGACACAGATGTTGTTGCGACGAAGGAGCTTGAAGAAGAGGAAGAAGAGGTTGAAACAGATGAAGAATTGCCGATCGAGGTACATCCTCTGGAAGAGGCCAGAGTGGGATTAGTGCTAAAAGAATCAGTGACGACATTTGTATTGGTATTTGTAGCAGCAGAGAGGAAGGAAGATTCGAAAGTCGCGGAAATCGTATTAAAATGAAGATCTTTGCGTATAGGAATGAATGTTGAAACAGCGCTACTAACTGGAAGAGAGGTTGTAACAGAGCTACAAAGAGTTACAGATGAAGATGCTGAAATAGAAGGGAAACAGAAAACGACACGGAAGGGAGGTAGAGGCAGGGATAGTATTTGTAGATGAAAGATCTGTAGATTGACTATCTTCATTTCTATCTTGCCATAACTTCTTCATCCCGGTTTGAAAAATGTTTCTGGCTGATTTTCCAATACACCACTGCTGCTAATAAAATCTGTCGCCAAGCCAGGAGTTGCAGCATAATCCCAGACGGTTGGACCTCCAGTGGTTGATGGGTGATAATACATTAACTGCACATGATAACCGTGGTTCTGATGAAGAGTCTGAGCCTACAAAAAAAGTCCAATTCCGAAACCAATCAAATT